TGTCATATAAATAAATATATGTAATATTTATATTTTTATATTCATTTTATTTATATTGTTATATTTATATATAGTATGTAATGCAATTTTTAAAAGGTGTTTTCTGCTAACCAAGGAGATCAACTCAGAGAAGTTAAGGTATTTATTATTGGTGTGTGTGTGTGTGTGTGTGTGTGTGTGTGTGTGAGACTATCATAGCACATATTCACAGATCAGAGGACAACTTGTGGAAACTTTCACCATGTGGGATTTGGGAATCTAACTCAGGTTGTCAGGCTTAGTGGCAAAAACCTTTATCCAATGAGCCACTTCAATTTCCTATTATGAGTATTTTAGAAAGATTCTTTTATCTTGGTTTTGAAAATGGTGAGGAAAAGAAAGAAATGATGTTAATGATAATGGGGGAAATGTTAAATATAGTGTTAAAATATACCAGGAGGAGCAAATAATGTTTCAGTAGATAACTATGGATTAGTAATTTAGTCAATTAATGTTTTATTACTGATAATAATGTGTTTATAAGTCATAGGCCAGTCACATAGCTAAGCATTAATCCTTCAGCTCCACTGATGCATAGCCCTACATAAGCAATCAGATTGTGTGATTAGCCCTGTACACTTGGAGGCCTGCCTTACAGATTCAAGAGAGAGACATGTGCATCTAATACCATAGTTTATATTGGGGAGCAATAGCTTGAAATTTACTATTCTGCTTAGATTCAAATTCTCACACAAACATCTTGAATCCACCACAAATGAGAACTTAAGAGGCTGTTGGATGGGCAGCACAATTTTTAAAAGACTACTACTCACTACTTTAAAAATAGCACATTTATACATAAGCTTTTTCTCTACTTAAAGACATTAGCAGTTTTGCATTTCCACTGCCATTTAAACAACAGCTGGTGAATAATAACGATATAATAGCAAATGTCCATCTCTTAAAATTAGATAGACAACTTAATTGTAATATTATTACTCTTGCATCGAGTCAAGTTTACAATGCTAGGACAGCCACCAACCACTTCTAAGATAGCATTTGTTTGTTCTCAGGAGTAGGCAATAACAGGATCTCTCTGCTCTTTGTTAAAGGTGCATCTTAGAAATGCCAAAATGTGTGGGAAATAAAAGCAGCAACTTACCTTGGGAGCTGTTGTTTCTGTTTTAGGACAGTGTGTATTTTAAAATATGATCTAGAATACATTCCACAGTTTGAAGATCTGGACCACCAAAGACATCAACAAAAATGCACCTCTATGTGGACAGTCTCCTCAGGAAATCAGAATTAAGTTAAGGAATAAATGAAAGTTATGAAATTTTCCTACTGCCATTTAAAAGACTACAAAATACCTTTTGACACTTTATAGGATATTTTTTAAAATTTTGCTATGAATGAGATATTTTAAGTAATTACGTTAAAATAAAAATTTGAGTCAGAGGTATGAAAGCTTAAAAAACAAAGCAAGCAAGCAAGCAAACAAACAAGCAAAAACCCCAACAGCTTTTGTTGTCAACATCAGGCTTTGAAAGAAAAAGGGAAGACAGAAATCTCTAAAAGTCCAAAAGGCCACACAAAAGACTGGGTCCTCATTGTCTTCCAGCCTGTGGCTCCCACGTGCAGCATGGCGCCTTTATTAAGGAATTCAGATAGATTCAATTACTACATTCTTAAAGCCCCTGACTATTCAAAATGTGGTGAGCTGGGGGCGGGGGGACCATTATTTTTTCAGGCATTGCAGTTAGGAACAGTTAGGAGCAGGCAATGAAAAGCGAAGATTGGAACTAAGTTTTAAAAAAAAAAGTGTATTGACTTCTAAGCTCCGCGCTCCTGCATCAGCGTGAGCTACTGTGAACATCTAGCACGCCAATCTGCCTTTCTACCTTAGAAGGGGGGGAGGAAAAAAAAAAACGGTAAGTGCAGAGCCTTGGCAAGCCTTCTGTACACAGAAGTGTGCTACTATCTTAATCTGAACAGTTATCTGCCCGGGAGCTATAACTCTACATATTTTTCTCCACATTCCGCTCCCAAACTAAAACCGACAGCAGAATCGACATCTCTGGGTTCTTGGCCAGAACTGAGCGCTGGCACATCTCCCTGTGAAGCGTGGGGTGGAAAGAACCCCAACAGACTCGAGGCCATAGGAGTGCTGAAAAGATAAAATTAGATAATGAAGTGGGGAGTGGGGGGCGTCACTAGAGGATTGTCATAACGCCCCACGTTGGTTTGTTTTTTGTTTTAACGCCTTTCTTTTCTTAAAATTAAGAAAAACCAACCCAAAGGTACTAATTTCTGCCTAGCAAACATGGGCTATGAGCGCTTACCGGATGGGAAAGGGCTGTGTTTTGCACAACTGAGATATTTCTAAGAAGCCCACGAGGTGTGCCCACCCCACTCCCCCCCCCCCGCCGCCTTTGTTTTGATTGGGACTTGGCCCACTCATCTCTTCCAGATTTTCTCCAGGTGAACAATAGCGGTTCCAAAGGGGCCATTTATTTCTTTTGAGTTAATAAAATTAAGTCCCCAGCCGAAGATCTAATCTCCCACTCTAGAGCTCAACCTCCAACCTCTGGGTAACCAGGCACCCGCTAAATTCTCACTGTACCTTCTGGGAATCTTCCCACCACTAGCCCAGACTCTGAGCCCCAACTTCCCGCTGGGACCCCAAACACGCAAAGGCAAATGTATCACTTTATCTCATATTTATGGAGCTGTTGTTCAAGAAGTGGACTATGGAATAAATATTAGCATTCCCAGATGGGGTGTCTTGGCTCAGAAAACTAAAACCAATCGCTGACAAAGGTTAATGGCAAAAGAGCAGTCTCGTTGGCTCGCAACTTGCGGCTTTTACAGTTTGTACCCTGCCAAAGAGAGCTGGGGGACACGCGGTGGCCTGCACTGGACCCGGAAGTGGCTGTAGGTCCAGATAGAACCTCAGCCTAGTTTCCAAGAATACAGGATAGAGGTAAAGACATTCTGCCGCCTTGCAAAAAAGAGAAAAGGCGGTGCAGAAACTCTGGGGCACGCTCCCCCTTCGCTATCCAGAGGTGAAACTACTGTTTTTCCATAGTCCTGCTTCATGTCTGCTTTGTCCTCGGGGTCCTTGAGGAAGGTTTTTTTGCGCTGCGGATTTTCCTCCTCAAGGGTTCTAGGACCCCTGTGTGCGACGTTTCTCACTAAAATTTGTCCCTGAGGCAGAGATTTGCGCTCTGTCACTACCCGCATCACCCTCTTTATTTTGCCCCTACCCTGTCGCACTTAAAGAAAATGAGCTCTTCGGATAGGAAGCTTCACTGTTGAGGCGGCTGGCAATCTCTCAGAAATGATGCAAATGGTTGCTAGGCCTTTCCGGTCCCTTCCCTTCACCGCCCCCCCAGCACTCCCCCCCCCCAGTGAACTGTGAGGATCTGTGAAAATAATATCAGGGTTTTCCGTCAGAACGAGCTTTACCCTGCACTCAGGCGTGCTATGATCTGACCCGACACATCCAACCATCTGCGCTATCTATCTGCCTTCTGATGTACTCGGTCGGAACACGCCGCACACAAAGTGTGCTTGATACTAAAGAAAAAGCAGCCAGGCCCAGCTCAGGTCGGGGGAGGGGTGGGGGTGAACTTTGTCCTCTGATTTCTTGGGACACCTTCCCCCCAGTATTTCCTTTCTACCAAATAAGCCTCATCTAAGGCCCATATAAGATCTTGGTTTCCTTGACGGAAGCCGCAGAAATCGGTATGATGTGGATGTCAATTGGGAATCAATAAATGTTGCCAATTCAATCTATTGGCCAGAAAGCAGGGTGCCAAAAAGGCCCATCCTCTCTGCGGGAGGGGTCAGTGCCCCGCGGTTCTGACAAGTCTACCTTGCCACCTTCACACACACCCGGTGCAGTAGAACACCGCCCCCTCTATTTTGCTGTCACGGAACTGCTTCTGATCTGAAAAGCTAAGATTTCTGCCTCCATCCCAGGAGCTGTGCAGAGGCAAAATCAGCCTGCCATGAGAGAACGAAATATCTACGTTTTAAAAAGATCTCTGAAGAAGGCTTTTAAGATGCTGTCCTGACCTACAGATGACTTCTCACTCTGGATGTGGCTGCTGCACATTCGTTCAAGTCCACTGAACTGGAGAGGAGAACTATGAATACAGCTTTATTTGGGTCAGAAGCCCCCACAGCCCGCCTTCCTTGGTGTTAGACTCCGTGGTTAGCACCCTAGTGATCAAGTGTGCGTCCTTGCTACAGCCGTTCAAAAATAGTTTCAGGAAACCTTTGAAGGGAGTGGAGTTATAGTCCAAAATGACCTCTTCTACAAATCTCTGGTCCTGTTCCTTCTGTTCCAGGCTTGCTTCCCGCGCAGCTGCTTTTGCAGCTGGAAAGGGGTAAGCAGGAGACAGACAGGAATTGCTGCCTGGAAAAAATGAAGATACACTTCCCTCCCTGTCTCTTTGGTGCGCGATCTCCCCGCGTAGTTAGTCGCTTCGCTACGATTTCTTTTTCCCAGTCCTCTTTGTCCTCTGAAGTCCTTTCGACCCAGGCGTTGAGTCGCCCCCAAATTGAATTCCTGTAGCATCCTGCCTCTCTGGTGGGAAAACAAGAGGGAGGAGCTGGGGAGGAGGAGCCGGCAGGGTGAGACGTTGATTTTTCGCGTGTGTTCCAGCCACTCCTACCTCTTTTTCCATCCTCAGGGTTCTGTAAAACCTTGAGCAGTCTCCGGGCAAACGGCGGGCGCTGTCGAGTCTGGGGAGGTGCTGAAATGGCTGGGGCGCGCTAGTGGCTGCCTTGATTGGCAGAGCTGTCCGGTGAGTGACAGGGGGGTCTCCATGGCGCCCACGTCTCCAATCCGCCCACCCCAGTAGCGGAGCGGGCTAGCTGACTAGCGTGCCCAAGCGGAGCAAGCGCAGCCGAACCCAACCCACAGCTCTTTCCAAGCGGGAAGGCTCCCCCCGACTCTGTAGCCCCCAGCCGCACCCGGCTCAGCCTGCGGGCTTCTGCTGCGTGTCCTGCTGGAGGCGTCCGCGCAGCCTCGATGTTCCAGCTGCCCATCTTGAATTTCAGCCCCCAGCAAGTGGCCGGGGTATGCGAAACCCTGGAGGAAAGCGGCGATGTGGAGCGCCTGGGTCGCTTCCTGTGGTCGCTGCCCGTGGCCCCGGCGGCCTGTGAGGCCCTCAACAAGAATGAGTCGGTGCTGCGCGCGAGAGCCATCGTGGCCTTCCACGGCGGCAACTACCGCGAGCTCTACCATATCCTGGAAAATCATAAGTTTACTAAGGAATCGCATGCCAAGCTACAGGCACTTTGGCTTGAAGCGCATTACCAGGAAGCAGAGAAGCTGCGTGGGCGGCCTCTGGGGCCGGTAGACAAGTACCGGGTAAGGAAGAAGTTCCCGCTGCCGAGGACCATTTGGGATGGTGAACAGAAGACGCACTGCTTTAAAGAGCGCACGCGGCACCTGCTTCGAGAGTGGTACCTTCAGGACCCATATCCCAACCCCAGCAAAAAGCGCGAGCTCGCCCAGGCAACTGGACTGACCCCCACGCAGGTGGGCAACTGGTTCAAAAACCGCCGACAAAGAGACCGGGCGGCGGCAGCCAAAAACAGGTCAGTAGTACTCAGAGGCCTCCAGGCTTGGTGCACACCCGGATGGGGCAGGAAGCGGCTCTTGGGGCGGCGCCCTTACCTGGTGCCTGGATTCAGTGGGAGTTGGGAGTGCCCTCTGTCTTGAGTTTATGAGGTGACTATGTTCCGGAATGAAGTGCAGGTTCCTGGTTCCCCACCATCTTTCTGGTTCGTGGGGCTTTGGGGGTCACTGCAGCAGCTGCCTGGGTCACCAAACCAAGGTGTCGCCTTGGGGGCGGGAGGGCGAGAAAGCTTAAAAACCCAGAATCAATTAGAAATCCAGAGGCCCAAAGCTATTTTTTTTTTTTTTTTTTTTTTTTTGCTAGCGTGGACCTAGGCTCTTATCAAGTGAATCCTATCTAGTTAAGTTTTATATTTATAGGCCGGCTGATACTCTGAAAAGGTTTCGGTTTTTGAGGGTCTCAGATTCTAAGAAGCGGAAGGGGAAAGTCGTGTTTCCCCATCTCAAATCGACCAACCTCGTCTCAAACCGAACAAGCTAGTTGACCCGGCCCATGCTTTTCATTCCAGGCCCAAACTCTCTGAGCAACCTCCAGGCAGCATTTTATTTTTTCTTTTCTTTTCTTTTTTTCTTTGTTTTTTAGCTGGAACAGACCAGATTCCAGGGTACCACCTCAGGCATGAGCCCTGGACAGATGTACTTATCTGTCCCGCTTTGCTCTTTCTGACAATCCCCCAGTAAATCTTCCAACGGAGGGTGACAACTGAGAAAAAAAAAGGGAGGCTAAGAGGGAATTCGTGGTGAGCCGGCATGAGGGAGAGGGAGGCAACTGGAGGGCTCTACAGTGGGGCGGCTCTGTACCCGCCCAAATTCTGTAGCCTCGCCTTCCCCACCTAGTCAGAGTCTGAATGAGAGTAGCTTTGGCATGGAACGGGGCAGAGGCGGGTCAGAGAAAAGGGGGACCTCGTAGCACCTTGGTTTCTTGCTGTGACCATGTCCCTTCCTTCCCCTATAGACTCCAGCAGCAGGTTCTGTCGCAGGGCTCCGGGCGGGTGCTACGTTCGGAGGGCGAGGGCACGCCAGAGGTGTTGGGCGTTGCCTCCAGTCCGGCAGCTAGTCTGTCCAGCAAGGCGGCCACTTCGGCCATCTCTATCACGTCCAGCGACAGCGAATGCGACATCTGAACTGCCCACTCATCACGCTTAGAAACGGAATCCAGTGCAAAAATGAGGTACACAAAAGGAGAGAGAATGAGACTAGCGCTGGCAGAAGCCCGCTGGCCAGGGACCCGCGGGCCTCAGTGACTCTGTCTGCCGCACTGCCAGCCGCACTGCCAGCCGGCTCTAGTTTCCATCGCGACTCGGGGCCCGCGGTGAGGCCTAACCCAACGCCACTTCGCTTTGCTTTTTCTGAAAGATCTGGCTGCAGAGACCTCTTTGGGACGGAACTGCACGCTGAGCGTCTGTCCCCCAATCTCCTGTGGGTATTTCATGTCAAAAGGACGCTGTTATATATGTATAACTTTTGCTTTGAAGTTTTTTTTAAAAAACAAAACAACACATATATATGCTGTTTATTTACTTATTTAAAAGACTTCCACAATAGGTTTCTCTGTAGCTTGGGGAACTTGCTGTTCTAAATGAGCAAGCTCATCGCATTCTGTGTGGAGAAGCCAAATAATAAAACAACTTGGTGGGTAACCTTTCTTAATTAAGGGAGCACCTATCTCAGATTTTTAAAAAGTCAATTTTACTCCCTATTCTAGGTATGAAGGATGAAATCTTATCCAAATAGTCTCACCAACTTCTCTATAACCTTTGATATCTCTCGGTATATATTTTTACATTTCCACTAAGAGATCACTAACGTCCAGCCACGTTGTGTGTGTGTGTATGTATGTATGTATGTATGTATGTATGTATATACATAAACACATACACATTACCACAATAAACCTAGGATTTGGAACACAAGCATGCTGTCTATGGCAGTGTCTTATATTCACCACAAAGGCAATCAAGGTTTGTCCTAATCATTCTTATGAAGTGTTAACAATTTTCAAGAGCAATTTGGGAAGACAAATTCTAGACTCAGTTAATGAATCCTATTTTACAAAATGCAAAGACAAGACAACTTTATAACAATAAAATATGTGTTTCCATTTCTTTTGAGGTCCCCTCCCATTCAAAATTGGTGGCCACCTATGATCATACACGGTAAGCATATAGTACATGTAGAATTGAGCTTTTATTAACAAAAAATAGGAGATGTCAGTAACTAGATCACTTTCTGCCTCAGAAGAGGGTTTTAGACAAGTACATAATTATCAACAAGAGAAATACTAAGACGGGAGATAGTATGCAATTAGGCTATATATTGACCATAAAGCAAAGGTTACAGAGAAATGACCGGCATTTCCTAAATCAATGCTCCACATTCAATATACAACAATTCATCAAGAACGTCATTGTCTTGAGAGTAGCTTCACTTAAAATGTAAAATATACTTAGCATGCACACAAAACCCACATGCGCTCTCACAAAATCTACCACCTTTTTGCTAAGAAAGTAAATGACATCCAGGTTATTTAAGATTTTTTTTTTCCCTAGTGAAATGGATTTCATATTACAAAATTTGACATTTACCTTTAAATCACTTGAGCAGGACTTCTCACTCAGTTGGGGACCTTTTAATTCACTTCTCTGTTCTTAGAAGGTGCTCTTTGGTTCATTTCTGAAGGCAAAACATGCTAAAGTACCAAACACGTGAAAACTGAAGTTGAGAAAGGCAATAAGTGATGATCAAAGCGTAAGTGGAAGCCCAGGACACCAGTAAGGGCTGATTTTTGTTTGTTTCTATAATTCAACTGCTTTGGGCTTTGTAAAATGTGCAATGTTCCTAATCCAGAAAATTCTTGAAAATGGAAACTCATAGCAAAAGAGCACTGGATGGATGGGTTTAGGGTCCTTTTGTGATCAAATAGGCAGCTCCCAAATCAAAAAAAAAAAAAAAAAAAATGTCCTTGTGTGGCCCATGAAAAATTTTCATGGCAAAGCTCTCTCATTTGATTTCTGAAGCCTCAGGTACTTCTTTGGATGCCAAAGGGCAGTCTGGAACTCCAAAGACAAAAAAAGAAAAAAGAAAAAAAACAGAAAAAAAAGAAAAAGAAAAGAAAGAGTATCACTCTCTAGGTCATGTGAGTGACAAGTGATAGAGACTTAAAATTGTCTCCTTAATTTTGTAGCCTTGGAGCCTTGATCATCGTTGGTGTTATGGCTCTAATCCTGGCATTCATGAGGCAGAGGCTGGCAGATTTCTGTAGGCTTGAGGTCAGCCTGGTCTTCATAGTGAGCTCCAGGCCAGGTATGGCTACACACTGAGACTGTTTCAAAAGCAACAACAAATAGCACCCTAGGTTCTCTTGCCTCAGCCTAGTCTAGAGTCAGTCCAGCAAGACTGCATTTTAATTCACGGCTCTCAGTCTTACAACCCAGTTACACCTCATTTGGGCTATGGGGTGATCCAGAATCAGCACAAATTTCATTTTTTTATTTTTATGGTCTCAGGTGTGTATGTGGGGAAGGAGGAAATGCTGTAAAAGGATTTGAGCTTCTAAAATTACCAACCAACAAATGATGCCTGAAAACATCCAGTCTGTGCACTCCGGAAAATAATGTAACACTCGGAGGAACTAAGCTTTCTCTGTACAGAATAATTTTTAATGATACTTGCAGAAAACTAAAAGGCCTAACAGTGAAGAACCCCCTCCCCCCAGTCTGGTTTTTGGTAAAGGTTTTTTAAAAAGATATACTATTTACAAGCTGACCAAGAATTACATTTAAAGTAACGATGTGGGGATTTATTCATCTAATTTCACGTCAGAGTCTTAGGGTGGTAACATTGTCTGAAGAATGTTTTTGTATATTTACCTGAAATCTGGTGACACTTAATTGATTTATAATTAATCAGTTCTTCAAATGACTCCAGGTTGGAGATTAGTCCAGATCCTCACACAGAGACTTATTTAATCACCCGAATCCGCCCATAAACGTGCATTGTAAGGATTTTCTTTAATTTTTTTTTTTTAAATCTATTTCATGCTGGCCTAGAAAGCGTTAAATTCCAGGCAGCAGAAAGGCTCCCTCTGTAAAGGTTCTGAATTGGGGGAACTGTCCACACATCCAGCACGTTTCCATTCTTCAATTCTCCCGTCACAATTTCCGCAAAAGCAATTAGTCCAGCCCGGAGGAGAGAAGCCTTTCCACATTTCAACAGACCTGACCAAAGCCAGGATTTTACCTCACTCTCAAGTCAGCCCGCCTTGGCTTCCCCAACCACCCAAGTTCCACCCAAAAAGCTCCCTAAGGGCCTCTGCACTCCTCATCTCCCCAATAACCACCTAGTCGGCGGCCACCCCAGCGCTCCCCCACACTCCACACACCAGTTTGTTTATAAAAATCCGGAGGGAATATGGGAGGGAGCCCAGGCTGGGGGTGGGGGAGGCCTTGCTCTTTGTTTACATTAAACAAATGACAGGCAAAGAGCTCCTGCAAAGTCTCCCCTGACCTCGTTCTCTCTCTCCAATTTTCACAAAAAGGAAGAAAATATTGTATCCGAAGAGCGGGTGAATGGGGCGGGCGGAGGGGAGCCGCAGCTTCTGGCTCTATTCAGCCGGGACCCCGGCGCGGCCGATTTCCGCTCCCATTGTGAGGCGGGCGGCGGGGACCGGGGGTCCGCGGGGCGGCCCGCGGGGCTGTCAGGCGGCTCAGCGTAATCAGGGCTAATGACAGCGGCCCGGGCCCCGCGGGACAAAGCGCGGGGCCGCGGGGCTTTGTCGGCCTGAATGGCTAATGGGTTTGCCCGCGGGCTGCGAGGGGGCGGCGGCGAGGGGAGCCCGGGTCATTGTCCGCGCGCTGGCCCGGGCGCGTCCCCCGGAGCTCGGCGCGCGGCCGTGAAGCCCCCCGCGGGCCTGGCGGGCCTCTGCGGGCCGAGGACGCCTGGGTTCCCGCGACGGGGCGGCCCGGTCCTTCCTTCGGGCTCGGCCTGCCAGTCTGTGCCGAGACTCCACTCCGCGCACCCACCTTTTGCGCACGGCGCCCCGGGGAACTCTCCCGGATGGAGGCCTCGAACCACTGCTGCCAAGCTCGGCGAATCAGGGACAGAAGCCTCCCCAAACTTGGGGACCGGGTTAAACAAAACCCAGGTGAGGGCAGAGGGTTCGAAGGCCCACCGCGGCCCGCGCAAGCTCGCGCCCTCCCAAGTGCCCTGGACTGCGCTGCGACCCCGGGGCGCAGACGAGGGGTCTTCCTGCAAATCTGAGCCAGCCTCTCCAAAGGCTGGGGACAGGGAGGCCTGAGCTGAGCTGCTCCGGCCTCTGGCCTCACCAAGCTGGAGCCATAGTGTGGGACTGAGGGAGCTGGATTTGCAGACTCTGGGGCTGGGAAAGGGTGCAGGGAGAGAGAGAGAGGGTTCAGTCATCCAAGTGCAGGATAAACCAACGTTAGCTCTGGCCGACCTCAGGACACACGCACGAACACCCTTCTTTAGGAAACTGCTACATCCTCAGGCTCAATGCCGTCTTGCATTTTATCTCCAGACGTTTTAGGCGTCCTCTATCTTGAGACAACCAACTGGTTTCGTTTTCCTTTCCCTTCCATCTCCCAACCCAAAGGGTTGGGAGCAAGTAGTTGAGAGACCCCTTACACTGGTTAGGAGGTTTGTCTGCCTGGATGCTACCCTATACCTGGACTGCTAATCAGTCAACCAGGCTCGCACCACCTCCTCTAAATCTTTCGAGCCAGTTGGAGCTTTAATATTTTTAAGCATTCATTTCATTTATTTGTGTAATTCCTTTCCCCTTTCAGAGGAGAATGGAAGTCCCCTATGGGCAAGAGTTAGGTTCCAAAACTTCATAGCTTATACTTTCTAAACCTGCCAAGAAATTTTCTGATATTTTCTAATATAATAGGATAATAGGATCCGCTATCTACTGTGCTTTGAATGCTGTGTCCCTTCACATTGAGACTTAATTCCCAGTGCAACTGTATTGATGTGTAGTATCTTCAGGAAGTGCTGAAGTAAATGGGTGCTCCCAGCCTTTGTTAAAGAGCTCAGGTGAGAGCTCTCTCCTGTGGTGCCTGAGATCAGACTCAGCTCTCAGCTTCTGCTCCAGAGCCCTGACTGTCTGCCTGGTGCCACGCTATGATGGACTGGAACCCTCTGGAACTCTTCAGTGGGAACTT